CCTCTTGGATGATCGTGCGGATATCGTGGGAGGCCCCTGGCCTCTATAGGTGGCAACTTTAACGCCCTTGGGGGCCGTTTGGGGGTCTCTTGGGGCCTCTTTTTTGAGTTTCGCGGGGCATCTGGGGGGCCAATTAGCTCTCTTTGGGGCCTCTTGGGGCCTTTCGAGGGCCTTTTGGGGCGGAAGGCTCGAATTGTCTGTTTGTGTTCCCCCCTCTTGGGCCCACCTTGGGGCCGTTTTGGGGCTCTCTTGGACCGTCTTGGGGTCATTTTGGGGGCCTTTTGGGCAGTCTTGAGGCGGTTTTCGGGGCCTCCGGGACAATCTTGGAGCGTCCGAAGCTCGAAAACGCGAGAATTCAAAAAAAAAAAAAAAAAAAAAAAACATAGAAGCGCACAAGTAGAATCCATGAATTTTGCCTCTTTGGGCCCTCATTTGGGGTCCTCTTGGAGCGCTCTTGGGGCTTTTTGGGGGCCATCTTGGACGTCCTTGAGCGCTCTGAAGCTGTCTTGGAGACCTTTGGGGCCCTCTTGGGCGCTTTCTGGGGCCCTCTTGGCCCGTCTTGGGGCCCTCAGGCTTCTGGAAAAGTCATGCGGGGCAGCCAGGGAACGCGCGCGAACGCCCGGGGAATGTAAGGATTTTGGGCCCCAGCCTTTATTTTTATAGGAATACCCTCACCTCCGAGCCCTGAGCTCCGAGAGCAGAGGACACATTTTCTTGGTCGCGGCCGCGAGACAAGGGCCAGGCGCAACAGGCGCAGGCCGGCCAGCCCACTCACAAAGCAAGCAGCCGCGGAGCTGAATCCTGAGAGCTCGAGTCTAGGCCTCCTAGATGGGGTCGGAGTAGATGGGGTCGAAAGATCTCGCCGCATCGCCGATGCATCGGCGATGCGGCTCGATGTGGGGCCCGATTTGCTCCACGCCGAAGTCGCGGAAATATCGCCGACGTCGCCAGTGCATGGCCGATGCATCGCCGATGCATCGGCGATGCATCGCCGATGCATCGGCGATGCGGCGAGATCTTTCGACCCCATCTACTCCGACCCCATCTAGGAGGCCTCTATCGAGCGCGTGGCAGAGGACCCCTGCGCACCCTGGGAAGCTCCACGCTCCGCGCCTCGCGGCACGGTGGCGGACGCCCGCCGCTCCCTGCCGTGGCCCTCGCGCGGCGTCCCCGGCCGCCCTGGAGAACGCCGGGGCCCCGGGGCCGCCCTGCGCCCCCCTCGGCCTCCCTTTTGGGCTCCCTGCGGAGCCCGCCTGGGGCGATCCGGAGATACCCTTCGGTCGGGCGTGTCCCCCCTGCAGGGGGAGCTTCGACGAGGAATTAAAATTCCCCAGAACATATTCCCAAATGGTCAAAAATATTCGAAAAATAGTCCCCAGATTATTTTTGGACTATTTTCTGATTATTTCTGAAGTATTTTTTATTCTTCGTCGAAAATCCCCCTGTAGGGGGACACGCCCGACTTAAAGATACCATGGGGCTGTCTTCGGCCGCGTTGGGCGCCTTTTGGGGCCCTCTTGGCGGCATCCGGGGCAATCTCGGGAGGCATCCGAGGAGTCTGGAGGCCAACCAGACTGCGCCGCACTCCGCTGGGGGAGGCGGATTGTGCAAGCAACCAAGTAGAAATGAGCCGACTGCGGCAAAGAGTTCTAGGTAAGAAGCACCGGATCACGTACAAGTTCAAAGCTCATCATTATACGTGGTGATGGGGCTTTTCGCGCAGGATGACCAGAATCATGTGCAGACAAGTCTGACTCTGATCAGCGCCAATATTCACAATTGCCAAGGGACGCGCGTGCCTACTGTGCGGAACTATTGTGCAGATGCCCTTGCGCGTCTTGTGCAGTGCCCCTCTTCGAGAGACTCGTTCCCTTGAGCGTCTAGAAAGTGATTCCGTGTCAGTATCGGGTGCGCACTCGGCCTTGGACCCTTTCCCCTCCGCCCTGTTTGCGTGCGCACTCGCAGGGCTCATTTCGACTCCTCCGATCCGATTCGATTCGATTTCGACGGCTCGCGATTCCGATTCGATTCGATTTCGGCTTCCGCTTTGGCTTCGCTTTCTCAGCGGAGGTCTACTAGCCCGCCGATTTCCGCCGATCCGACTCCTCCCGACTTGGCTGCCGATTTCCGCCGAGCCGACGCGTTTCGATCGCCGATGCGACTTATCGATTCGACTCTGGGCTCTCCTGGCTCTTTCTTATACTCCTTCCATCGTCCTTCCTCTCTCTGTGTGCACCGCGCCTGTGGATCCTGCACGCTCGGGAGAAAAAGGGCAAAAGGTTGCCAGGGTGACTCCCCGGTTCGGGCTGGACAACGTCGGCGAGCGGAGGGGGGGGGAGTGAGAAGGAGAAGGCCTTCTCAGAAGGCGGCCGGGACTTTTCAGAAGCCCTCCGGCCCTCCGAGAAGTGCCCTCGGGGGAGGCTCAGGAGACTTCTCCGAAGGCCGGGGGCTTCTAGGCTTTCTGACTCCTTCTCACTTCCCCCCCTCGCTCGCCGCCCAAAAAAGGGCATTTGCACTGTTTCCTCATCACTTCCTCCTCCGCCTCTTCTGCAAAAACTGGCGCTGTGGAGCAACTTTGCTTGCTCCGTCGTCCGCGGCCCGATTCCCCTGCTCCCCACTAGGTAGCAAATCATGTGAGCCTGGTATACACCTTAGGCGATGCTTAAGAAAACCTAAGTTTTCGGCCAGAGTCTCGATTTTTCTTAACGTTTGAATGTAAATCCTAAGATTTTAATGGAAACGTTGGGTTTTTTTATTCAAGTTCTGAGACTATGAGTTTCTTAACCCATGATTTCTTAAGCATTTCGCAGGGTGTATACCCTCTTAATTCTGACTCTAGCGTCGATTCGCGTTTGGGAGTCGATGAGATAGCGCCGATGTAGCGTCGGTTAGCGTCGATCAGCGTCGATCTAGCATCGATGTGCGTCGGCTAGCGTCGACCAGCGCCGATTCACAAGGGCCGACAAGATGGTGTGGGATGTTCCCGTGCGTTGCCACCGAATCCCCAGACTTCTCCTCGGCTGCATTCTTGCCATTATGTCGGGCATGTCACGTCGCTCTACAGGAGGAGCATTTCAAATAGACAACATAATCAGGGGACGAGTTGTTCACTATATTTGATAATTTCTGAGCAGGCTTTTTGTTCTTGTTCGTCCCGCTCGACCAAGCTTTCCATCGTTCCGAGGCGGCTCCAGCCGTGGTCGCGAGGGCCCCCCAGAGAAGGCCCCCCCCCAGAGGCGAAGACGAAGCAAGGGCACTCGTAGCGGGGCACCAGGCCAATGTCCGACGAGGCGTTCGGTTGGCGTCACGCCATCATACTAATCCTATGTTTAGGTCGGGCATGTTCTCCTACAGGCGGATTTTGGACAAGTTTAAACAGCCAAACAAACATTAAAAAACATGAAATATCGTCCTCCTATGTTTTTACACCAGGTTTGAATATCCCTCCTGTAGAGGGACAGGCCCGACTTAATACTATGTATGCGTCGCCACCCCACGGGCGACTCACGCACCGCGAAATCTTCTGGTACATGCGGCGTGGCGGGCGCTTTCTGGCCACACCGCTCGGGAAAAGAGATACTACAAGATGGGTATACCCATCTGTGCGGGTCGAGCGCACGCATCCAAGGAGGACATGTAGTACTTGTAGGTCCTTGTGCGTCCCATTTTTGGGGTCCTGGGAGAGGCCCCCAGACGCCGCCGATCACAGTGAAGCACCTCGTTTTTTCGAATGCCCTTCCATTCGGATGCATCTCTTGGGGGGGTCCGAGTTCAGGATCGGTGCTGGCAGATCTGCGGTCGAGCACCAGCCAAATCTGACACGACCCCGCGTCATCCAGCTCAATAATCTTGTTGAATGTTGTTCAGCTGATTTAATCCCGTGGGTGACGAGGAGGCCCTCCCGAGAAGGCGCCCCAGAGGTGAACAAAACGAGGCAAGGGCACTCGCATCGGGGCACCAAGCCAACGTGCGACGAGGCGTTTGGTCGGCGTCACGCCAACATACTAGTACGATGCATGCGTCGCAACCCCAGGGGGGGCGGCGCCAGAGGCGCCGCGCGGGGGGGGAGGGGACGACGCGCGCACCGCGAAGTCTTGTAGTACGCGCGGCGTGGCGGACGCTTTCTGGCCACGCCGCTCGGGAAACGATGTGCTACCATATTGATATGCTATACGTTCGGGTCGGACGCACGCCTCCAGGGAGGATATACAGTGCCAGTATGTCCTTGTGCGTCCCATTTGGGTCCTGGAAGAGGCCCCCAGACGCCGCCGATCACAATGAAAATCATATCGGTTTTCGAATGCCCTTCAATTCGGATGCAGCTCTGGGGGGTCACAATTCAATTCAGCACCGGCGCGCTGGTAGATCTGCGGTCGAACACCAGCCCAATCTGGCACAGTCCCGTGGCATCCAGCTTACAGTGGAGACCCATGCAAAGAAACACCCTGTTTGCCTCCAGGATGCCCTGGGTTTCTTGGACTTCGATGGATTTGCCATGAAAAGCGTGACGTTCGCACACCAAACATCGCTGGACGTCCTGGGGTCTCAGGGTTGGGTTTCTTGTGGAAGGTTTCTTGTGGTCGGGCCCCAAATGTACCGCTTAGTGGCCCCTTATCTGTCAGGCTTCATAGCGTGAAATCGTTCTCACGGAGACTTCCCAGGAGGCGTTGCCTCCTGATTCTTCTGGCTTTACCAGCCCGAAACATGGCCTGCCCCTATGGTTGGCGTCACCTGATCTCGACGACGATCTTAACGGCTCCGTCAGCTTCTGAGGGTGCATCCCAAAGATTGTCGCCTCCTTTTGGCTTGTCAATATTGGGGATGGGGATCAGATCGAGGCTGGCTATGCAAAGCAAAGCGAAATGCTGAGTACGAAACGCACATGGGTACATAGCCACTGAATTGGACTCACGAACACATAGCCACATAGCCACATGAGCACATGAGGCTGGCGATGGGCCCTCGGAATTGCCCCCCCCCCCCCCCCTCCGCCGCCGCAGGAGGCCACCGCCGAGCTGCCCGTCGCGCAGGCGCTGGTGGACGAGCTCACCGGCAGGCGCGCTGCGGCGGAGCAGCGCCTCGAGGAGCTGGCCGGCATCGTCGAGGCCGGCGGCGGCAGCGACGGCGATCTTCGGGAGTTGCGGAAGGTGCCCCTGGCTCAAGGTGCTCCGCAGCTTTTCGCTCAATCTTGGACCTCCTGGGGCCCCCGGGGCCTCGTGAGGGGTGCTCTGGAGGCCGCGGGGGCCTGCGGAGAAGTCGTGTGGGGGCCCCCCCGGGCCTGGGGCACCTCTAGCAGCACCCGAGATCCAGGGAGGGCGAGTTGAGACCACGGCAGTTGGCTTCGCCCCCACAGAGGCGCCCTCAGAGCTCGTCCTTGGAAGCGTTCGCGGCGGAGTTCTTGACTCCGTCTCCTCCGCGTCCTCCTTCGTCCTGCTCCAACTCCTCCTCCTCCTCCTCCTCCTCCTCCTCCTCCTCCTCCTCCTCCTCCTCCTCCTCCTCTTCCTCCTCTCTCTCTCTCTCTTTTTTTTTTTTTTTTCTCTCTCTCTCTCTCTCTCTCTCTTTATCTATCGACCATGGTGTCCTCCTGGCGCGGCCATCCACATGGCCAGTCAGCCCTGAGGGGAATAGTGAATAGTAATGCTTGTTTGCCTCGCCAGCCTGAGGTTGGAGCTGGAGGCCGGTAGAAGATTGCGTAATCGCATACGGAATGGTCGACAGGCGACGGGACGAGAAGAGAGGAGGAGGAGGAGGAGGATGAGGATGAGGAGGAGGAGGAGGAGGAAGAGGAGGGGGAGGAGGAGGAGGAGGAGGAGGAGGAGGAGGAGGAGGAGGAGGAGGAGGACCGCATGATATGAAGGGAAGGGAAATGGAGGAGTTAGGTACGCAAGTGTGTGGCTGCTGGCGCAGTGGGGCTGGAGAAAAAATGTACGCGGAGGCTGCTGGCAGTGCTGAGGCAGGCTGCGAAGGGAGCTGCCGTCAGGCTCCACGTGACTGGCGCCAGGCTGTGCGTCAGCACGTCCGCGCTTGCCAAGGTGGAAAGCGCAAAGGCATTCCCCCTGCCCATGGGAAACCCCAGAGTCGGCCCCCAGTCCAACAACGGGGACCTTCAACTGTGAAGCAGGCGTAGGGTTCCCAGATCGAAGGAAGTGGGGGAGGTTCACCGAGCGTGGGGGAGGGTCGCGCATTCCATAGCGGTGGCCGTTGTGGACTGTCATGCTCCCCGCCTGCCACAACGACCCATCTCCACCCTACGTCGTGGCAGCTGCCGTGCAGCGGGTGTTAGGCTCCGGCGACAAGGGAGAGGCCATTCGGTGGAGCTGCCGGAGGGGAGGAAAACGGTGGGAACGAGGTCGGTGATTGCCCGCTGGTGCTGTGACATCCTCGGCGATGAATTTATATCGGAGTCATCGGTGCCACCTCGGCGAAGGTGAAAAGGTGGGCCAGATACGCGTATGCGATGACGGACACTGGTGGCTGCAATTCTTGTTGCCCGTGCCTTCCAGGCCATCGCCTGGGGGAACTGAAGGAGTGGGAGTGGAGGAAAGCGAAGGGAAAGAGGTCGGTGACTGCCCGCTGGTGTTGTGACAGCCTAAGCGGTGACCTATGTCTGGGTCATCGGCGCCACCTCGACGAAGGTGAAACAAGTATGCCAGACTCTGGTGGCTGCGAGTCGGTCTGCCTCTGCCTTCCAGGCCATCGCCAGGGAGAATTCGGCTATCGTTGCCCGTCCCCCAGGAGGGAGTGAAGGTTGGGTGAGCCCTCTCAGGACCAGTGGAACCCACTGGTTGATGCAAGCACTTTGGCAACACGTCGGAGAAGCAGCGTACGCGGGTAAGTCAGCCACAGCGGGTCTTGGAGTGACCGTGGACCCACTGCATAGCATAGTTCGTTCGTTGCCGTTGTAGCCGCCGTAGGTGCTTGAGCATGATGTGGTCGCCGCGCGAGTGCTAGTAGAGATGGGAGCGTGCCTTCGCCAGGAGTTGGAAGCGGCCACTTCTGTCTGAGAGCAATATAGGGAGGCCGGCAATAATGACGCACCGATGGGCCTCCGTCAGAGGTCCCACCATGGCCTGAGGGTGGTGTGCACCGCATTGGCCATGTCGCGAATAGACTGGTTGGGGCCGCCTGTCTCTTCAGAGATGTAGTTAATTGGATGAGAGGCTGGCGGACCTTTGCAGAGTGGCAAGACTGCTGGAGTTCTGTCTTGTCCGTGGCATCCTCGTTGCTGCCACCCCTCTTTGTGCGGAGCATCCGTTGACGTAGTTCATGTTGTCGAAGCCTGGGTAGTAGGCCTCCTCGCAGTAGTCCGTGATGGTTTTGGAGCAACGGATGGGGTGCTTGTGGTCGTAGGGGACGTGCTCAGTGTCGGGTTTGCTGCTGTCGGTGAGCAGGATCCGCATGGCAGGAGGCCGCTGTTCCCTGTGGAACAGGGGGAAGTGTGCACTGCGCCTCGATCATCTGGCGAGGGCGTTGGCTGGCTGGTCTCGAGTCGATGGTCAGCAGGAACCCATGGCCGAGGAGGTCGGCTGTTGGTTGGCGTTGGGTGCTGTTGCCAGGGCTTCCAGTGGTAGGGTCTTTGTCTGAGCTGCTGTTCGTTCCCTGAGGGTGGGTGCTACTGCTATTGGCTGGTGGCATGGTGCTGCGATCTGGAGAGCCTCCGCGGGCGGAAGCCCTGTCGTCGTTGTCGGGGTCGACTCGGTTCACGTCGTGTTGGCATACAGGTCGTATGGTCTCTTGGTTGTTGAGGAGATTGCTCGTTTTGGTAATCAAGTGGTTAGCATTGTCCTGGAAGGCGGACGTTGCAAAGGGCGTGGGGTACGCGTAGGGTTGCTCTGTATCCCCAAGCTGATGTAATTGTAGATGTCTTGCCGCTCGAGTCTTGCGTAGTACGGGGTAGGTAGGTCCAGTCTGTCTTTAGCAGATCGGTGCGAGGTGATGGTTCACAGTTGGTGGATGATGAAGTGGGTCAGCAAATTCTAGTTGTCGGTCATCTCGAACAGGTTGGCGGGTGGAATGGTCGCCTCGCCCATGAAGTCGTGGAGGGATCGTGAGAAAGACTTCGTTATCAGGTCTTGCTCGCATCGGTGCGACGCGGACTGGTCGGCGTTCCAGTTGTAGAGCTCGTCTGGGTTATTGATCTCCTTGATCGCATCCTTGATGGGTTTGTGGACGTGCATGTTTCAACTGCCTTCTCGACCTGATGGTGAGGGCTTGGGGAGGGGGGTGCTTGGCTGGAACCGCTTGCATTGGTGTTAAAGGCCCTGGGCGTTTGCCTCCGTGTCCGCGGTTCCCGTCGTCTGCTATCCGTGGCATGATGTCGGCCCTGGGGTGGCCGGCTGTCGCCAGGTGCTGCGCTCCTTTGAAGCGTCGGTGCTTTCGCTGGTATGGCTGCTGGTTGGTACGTCATGTCAGATGGCGTCGGGACGTTTCAGCGGGTTCCGTGGGTGGAGGAGTCTCCCGGTGTAGGACGGTTGTCCTGGCCGTTAGTGGGGTGGGTAGTTGATGCGTTCGATCCGCCGGCCGTCATGGAGATGAGGTTGTTGATGTCGTTCTGGATGATGTCGTGGTCATCGGGCTGGTGCTAGGGTGGAGCTGGTCAGCTAGGTTGGTGCTAGGCTGTGTGTGTGTGAGGGTTGGGCGGGTTGGCGGTCTGGATCTCCGTGATGATCCTGTTGATCTTTTCAGCGTGGAGGATGGAGTCGCTGTGGTTCCTGATCATCTCGTCGATGATGGTGTCGAACCGTGGATTGCCAATAAGGTAGTCCATGTCCATGTTGGTGATGCTTTTCTTGATGGCGCTTGAACTAGTGGTCCTGGCTGCATATCGCGACGAATCCGTCGATCACCGAGATATTACATATCTGCACAGGCAGATCTAGCCGGCGGTGATGGGGCCATTGGCTTCGGAGGTGGCGGTGGTTGGCCCTGCCCCCGTGGTGCAAGAGGTGCGTTTACGACAATACTGTTGTTGCTGTCGTCGAAGAGTCCCTCGCTGTCGGCCGTGACGTGCAGCTTCCAGCCTGTGAGGAGGAGGAGGTCGTCGCTGGGGTTTTCCCATTTTGCAGCACGGGTCTCGCCGTTGAAGTAGCGGACCTGGCTGTAGTAGTTCGTTGGGCTGGTTGTCTTGTAGACGATCCACGGGTGCGGGCCTGGGAGCTGGTGGTGAGGGCGGTAGGGCATCCCTACGCCCAGCTCCTCCAGCTTGCGTGCCATCTCGTGGTCGGCCCATCTTCGATTCAGTCGGACACGTCCCTCTGCAGGAGGAATATTCGAAAACAGAAGCAGTGATAGTCTGGGGAGGATGGTTCTATTCTGTTTGACAGTATTTTGGATGTTTTGACTATGTTGAATTCTTCGTCCAAAATCCGCCTGCAGGAAGACATGCCCGACCTAAATCTTCGGTGGTGTGGTGTATGTTGGCGGTGGAAGATGGCCTGGTGGCATTGGGTCCGGGTTGCTGCTGTAGTCGAATTGCTGGATTAGCCGCCTGTTGGTTGTTTGTGCTGGGGTGGTCCTCGTTCGCGATAGTCGTGATGGTTTGGGACCACGTTCTCGGTGCTGACTCCTTCCTCGATGTTGACGTCTGTTGGTGCGTGCCTGTCGATGTTGCCGATGTGTAGCCGTTGCGGCTGGGTCCTCCTCCTTCTCCTCCGCCTCCTCCTCCCCCTCTGCCTGGCCGTCTCCTCCAGGCCGAGGAGGGCGAGTTGAGACCACGGCCGTTGGCTTTCGGGGGGCCCATTCGTCGCCACAGCTGGACGTAGACCTAGCAGTTGGCCTTCTGGGGGCCCCCTCGTCGCCACGGCTGGGAGCAGCTGAGAAATTATGTATTTTTGCAAGTGCTCCGAGATGGCGGCTGGGCCCTGCCTTCTACTCCTCCTCCTGCTCCCCCTCCTTCTCCTCCTCCCCCTCTTCCGCTTCCGCTCCTCCGCCTCTTCTCCCTCCTCCTCCTCCTCCTCCTCCTCCTCCTCCTCCCCCTCCTCCTCCTCCTCCTCCTCCTCCT